TGGGGGAAGTTCGCGGCGGAGATCCGAGATCCGAGCAGGAAAGGGAGTAGGGTTTGGTTGGGAACTTTCGATTCGGATGTGGATGCGGCTAGGGCTTACGACTCCGCGGCGTTCAAGATGAGGGGAAGAAAGGCCAAATTGAATTTTCCGCTGGACGCCGGAAAGTCCGACCCGCCGACTGGAAATGGCCGGAAGAAGAGGAGAGAGAGCACAGAGTAAACTGAAGGAGAGAGATAACTGTAAAATTTCCTCCAAAAGTTCGACCACTTTTTATCTTATTTTAGTTAATGAAAGTATCAATACGCTTCTGAATATAAATTCTATTTAGGAATTTAGAGCAGCTTTAATTGATGAATGGAGCTCCTCACTCCGGCTTACAACAATTTTCATTGCCAACATGAGGTAGCAGTGGATACATCTCACGTCATTAGTTCGAATTTTTCATCTCCTTATTGTAAAAAAAGAATTATCTAGGAAGGTGGCACCATGGTTTAAACTCATTCTCATTCGCTATTTATATTAATCCTCATCGAAGACTAGATCATCCCATGATGATTTAGTATAGTATTATAATTGTATTAAAAGTCAAAGTAAGATAATTGACACATATCTCCAACTATCAGATTGCGTATTCCATCCTCACCTTAGAAAAAATTATGAAAGTTTAACATCTAAACGTTTTAGCAATAAAAAAAAAACAAAAAAACATCCATTAGAAGTGATACAATGAAAATTTTAGAGATGCAATTTTCTCGTTTTCGAGAGTTGAATCTTTACATGGAATGTTGTAAGGTGAAAATTTGAGAGTTTAATTTTTCCAATTGAAAGCTTAGAGATGAAATTGTAACAACTACCTTAATTAGTTTGTTCCATTTGGCATTTAAAATTAAAAACGATTTAAGTTTATTGTGAAAAATATATTTGATAGAGTTGATAAAATTATGAAGAACCAAATGTCTTATAAAGACTAAATCGTTAAATAGTAAAAATCGAAATCGAAATTTAATTTTTCAATTCTTCATAATTTAAAAAATGTTTGAAAAGATATCTTTGGTTCTTGTGTTTTCCTCCCATTGTTTCTATATTAGTTTAAAAATATAACACATTTAAATTTACTTAAAACTTTAAAATAATTAATTAATAATCATACATGTTCAATAAATTTAACAAAATTGAAGAACAAATGGCAAAAGTGAAAATAGTTAAACAGTAATTGACATTGACATATATTTCTAATCAGAAGGTTGTGAATTCGATCTCCCACCTCTTACGTTGTACTATCAAAAAAGGCCGAAGAACAAATGAAAACAGCAAAATTCAATTTTTGTATTCTGTTTTATTTTTTTTTTCAAATTAAAATTATCCTACCAAATAATTTTTCATCTCTTAAAAAAGTAATTAAATAAGGAAGGTAGAAAGAGGTGTATTCACAGCCGATAAACATTGGATTCTCTCTAGCCTCTAAGACGAGAAGGCTGGAATGCAAACATATGCCTATTATGAAAGTCATTGGACCCAATAATCCTCCATTCTTGGAACGACCATTGCCAACATTCACGAGGGTTCTTTCAATTTCTTATGAGTGCAAGATCAATCAATTAAAAGGGAAAAAATTTTAAACATGCAAAAATTAGTGCAAAATGTACAGCGTGATACAATGTTAGATTACTCTGATTCTGAAGAGCTACAGATACAACGCTACTCTTAACACAACCGATCTTCCCTCCTAATAATACAACTCCAATATGAGGAATCCTACAGAACCTAAGCTAAATTTGTATCTCACTTGCAACAAATGGGAGGCTTCACCTTCATACTCATTTACATCTTCCAAATTCTGATATAGACCTGTGTTTAAATTTTTCAAAGAGAGATCTTCAACTGTTCCACCAATCAAAAGCTCTTGATTTCTAACTTCAATCACATGGAAGGTAAGAAAGTACCATTTCAGAAGGAAGAACCATCAATCATCTGAACTACAATCACTGGATTCTGGTAGAACAGGCACAGCAGCACAACAGAACGAATCTTTGTCCTTGAGGAGAAGACAGCTACCATCTGAATTCCATTTCAGGTCGGTTATGGCGAACTCCGATAGAGGGACGTTGACACAGTAAGCACCTGAGGGGGTCCACATGTACAGATGCGGGCTACCGGTGCAGAGAATAAGACGTGTGCATGTTGGGTCCCAAGCTGCTGCTCGGATAGGATCTTTCTGCACCAAGATGGCTGTCAGTTCTAGATGGTGAATGTCCCAAATCCAAAGTGCAGTCGGCATGCTATCGTTGCGTGTGCAGATGTATTGGCTATCCTTGCTCCACAACATTAGACCTGTGATACAAAGTAACAGTAAAGACCTATTTGATCATTACATACAACTTATTGTAAATAATAAAATATGTGGCACTAATGCACATTTATGCTTCATATTCAACAATATGTGATAATTACTTTATTGGTTTAAATCCCATTTTGTTATTTGAAATTTCAGGTTTGTTCTATTTTAGTCCCTAAACTTTTAAAATGTCTATTTAAATTCCTGAATTAAAAAAAAGTGACCATGTTAATGTGAGCATATGTTGAAGTATAGGTTGGAGGAGAACGTTGGACAAGCAAATATTAGGTGGCAAAATAATATAGTTAGGACCAAAATGATTATTTTTTAAAAGTTTCATTAGAGACCAAAATAAAACAAACCTAAAAGTCCACAAAATGGGATTTAAACCTACTTTATATTACAAGGGAGCTACTTGATGTACAGATGGAGCAGGAACTTGTAACAGTTGCTCTCAATGGAACATGGATTTAGGATGATTTAGTGGTTCATGATTATCACTTGGATTTAGGTAGGTTTCTCTTTCGTAGTTTTGTCTGCAATTTAATATTTCTGTTTTAACAAATACTTCGTGGACAATATTAAGCATACAACAAAAGCACATGGTAATACGTGAGCTTTTACTCTCCTTCCATATAGCATAGGACGACCTCATACAGCACAGAAACACATTATCAACTAAGTAAATTTTAAATACAATTTGAATCAGCAGGAATAATGCAGCACGTATTCTCTCTTTTGGGAGGAAGAGGAACAGAGGAGCTTACCAACGCCTTGTTTAGGGTTTGGTTTGTCTGCAGGCGGTTTCTGGGAAGGCAAAGTGACAGGTACTTCTGTAACATCATATCTGACCCTGAAGTGTCCTTCTGTAGAGTCTTCTTGAGAAAAGAAGATAGTACAGATTAAAGTAAGCAATGCAGTAGGTCGAATGCTAAAAAATTGAATAGTCAAACAAATCAAAGGTAACAGACTTTATTGATGGGCTAAGCTCACACAACATCATACTTTGAAATCTAAACATTCTGGAAGGTGGTACTGATAATTTATGCTCCATTTGAAAACAATTACATGCCTTGTTCTTTGTTTTTAATGCTTGGTTTCTTACTGTTTCTTTGGTATATTTTTCATTGTTTAAGAAAACACATTTGAAGTTCTAGCAAAATTTTTAAAACAAAAACAAAAACAAAATTTAAAATTTTTTTCTTTTTACAAAATTTAGCTTAGATTTTGAAATTATTATAAAAAAGTAGATAACAGTAAAAAAAGAGGAACATACGCAGAATATTATGTTTATAAGCTCAATTTGCAAAACCAGAAACAAGGGTCTTAAGAGTCTAACTATGTTATGTTCACTTAATGGCCAAGTGTATGGTATTTCTAGGCCTCCGGTGGCAAGTAATCAATAACTGAAAAAAGATACCTTCATAATGAAGGTAACAGACACGCAACTACAGGTTTACGTACAGTTATAAATTGAGCAAGGAATAGATAATGAAAGATAATCCGCTGGTCTTACATTTTGAAGTTTTCTTTCTTATGCTAGGAGAAAACAAAGACCTCACGTTAAAATCACCGAAACAACCCCAGAATGTATGTAGGAAAAATTAAGAGATTTACAAGTTCACATAGTCTGGAACTAGTAATTTATAGATAGTAAAATAATGCATGGTCACTTCTGAAAAGAACATACCAGAATTCTCTTCAATAAATTCATCATTGAGACATAATTCCGACATATTAAGCTGCAATGGTTCGTCCACCTCCTACAACATTAAGGAGAAAACTGAAAAGTATAAGCTTTCTTTTCCTTTTTCAATGAGAAGGATCATAGCACAGTAACTGGAAAGGCAAAATAGTTTTACCTTAAAAATAGCAGGGCAACTGGGATTACGCACGGTAGAAACATGAATGAACTCAGCAAAAGTTTTCCATGTCAAATGATTTAAAACTCTCAACATTTGGTCATAACTACCAACAGCTAAAAACTGTCCACAAGGAGACCATGTAACACTTTTTACACCAAGTCCACTTTCATATGCTTGATATTTATATAGGCACCTTCCATCCGGAGAGTAAACTAGAACCTGTGCAAACCAACCCAAGCTTTATAATTACTTTAAAATTTTAATTCAGTATTAAAAAGAATTAGCAATGTGTTCAGCATCAATCAGCCAACTAAAAGGATGATGAAGCATGTATGGAAGGCTTAATAGCACATAGACAACTTATTGCTGTGTATTGTCTCAAAACATGACTTTTCATGGAAGAAGGGAACTCTAGTCTCTAGCTTTTAGAATCTTTTAGAAATTTGGCTTTGCAGTTTACACCATAATAATCAGTATTTATGACTTTTAAGCACAATAAAAGACCAGGATACTTAAACCAGAGCAAAAGACAGGGATGATATGTGACCAATTAAGAACCTCTTGGATCAGCCTGAGTAACACGCAAGATCCATTTCTAGTTGCAGGTCATCGATATGGCAAACAAGATTTATTGCGAAAATTGACTTCTTATAAAACTTACTGTATCCTATTCGCAGGTTGTTTCATGGGTCATTGAATCTCCTTAATAATTACTGAATATTGGAAATAAATGAACAAAACATAGGAGTGATAAGAGAAACGTTTTCCAACTTTTTCTTCTTCTTTCTAATTTGTGTGTGTGTGTGTTTGGGGGGAGGGTGGGATCAGAAACATTAGCTTTTCATTGATGGAATTAAAAAAGTACAAAGAACACCAATTTTATATAAATCTACCCCAATTGGTAAGAAAGAAAAATCAAAATTATAAAAAAGGGAGGAGAGAGTACCTCAAGAGGATCCTAAATCCTAACAAAGTAATCTCCTCCTGGAGAATATCAAATGAAGGCTCGTTCTTAGAAATACTACGGTTTCTCTTTACCAAATTAAAAGAAGAAATTACTTACACTAGAACAATAAATTGCTAATTTCTATAGGAAGTACCACCAAGAAGCCACGCAACGTTAGTAGTCTCTAATCTTTCGTCCCAATTAACTTGTTTGTGTTCAAATATATGCCAATTTCTCTCCGTCCATAAACCCTATTAAATTGCCTTGACAACATTGATCCACAATAGCTTAGCTGTTCTTTTCAAGTGCCCAAGTGGAATACCCATGAGAATCAAAGCCTTGAAACATATAGCTTTCCAAATTTTTCCATCGTGGAACAATGAAAGAAACAAAAGATGAAGACGCCCCGCTGCTTTCAAATATTACTACAACTTGAACTATTTGTCAAATATGGGCAATTCTTTGAACTCTTTTAGCCAAGTTTAACCCTTCCATGAAGACTAATTATGCCTAGATATTCACCTTCCTAGGGCACTTAGTTTTCCACACAACATAAATGAGGTTTTTGGTATTGAAGGAGCATCAACCAATCCTTTAAAAAGGGTTTTAACAAAAAAATCCAACCGCATAAGTGACTAACACCTCTTGCCTTATACCCTACTGAGCTTTGAAAAGAAGAAATTAATCCCACAAAATCCAACCGCATTAGCAAAAGCCTCTCGTTCAGTTGTAAAATCCCACAAAATTCACCCAACTCTTCATACCTAAGGTTTCTTCTAATAATAAAATAACATTTCATGATCTTGAATCTTCCTCCCAAGCTTGGAAAACCAACAACTCTTTCTCTCCAAAAATTTCAAAAACTCTAGGAAAACACAAGGCCAAAGGTTGATTGCCCACCCAATTATCATCCCAAGAAGATTCCTTCGTACCATTGCCAACCATTATTGAAGAAAACTTTCAAAAATGGCTTGAACTTATAATGCTTCTACAAACCTATGGCGGTGTAAGTTCTGCATAAATTTCCAGTGCATCTTCAACATCTTCGCTTGACTGTCAAGATATTATGATGGCCTTACATCCAACCCTATGAAATAAGAGGGTGCATTCCTGCGAGACCAAACTTTTCACATGCCTCTGGGAATCTGGGATTATGGTTGGAAAGAATAGGAGGGGTTTTGAAGGTTTAAAAGGGTCTTGACTCTTGAGAGGATGTGAGGAACTTGGCTTATTTTTATGCCTCTCTTTTGGTCCATATAACTTACCCAGTTTTTTTACCTTTTTAATGGCTCCTTTTCTTCAAATGGCCTCTGTTTATTATGTCCAAGTAAATTCAACCAACATAATAAAAAGAAGAAGAAGAAGAAGAGTGACAAAAAAACAGTCTCTTGCATAAATCAGTTTCACAATATGAATGCGCCAAGAGTACAAAGTTAATATTTAAAACTAAAACAGGAAGTTATCACCTTATATTCAAGAGGCGAGTCCCAGACCACAATCGAACTATCATCTGGCGACCATTCAATATCTGCCAAATCCAGAGTATCAATAGCAAAAGTACCCATAATCTCCCATGTATGACAAGAAATGAGATTGATGTAATCCTTGCAATCTTTTCGAGTGCAAACTGCTGCAAATTTCCCATCTTGGGTGAATGAAACTCCCTTGGAAGCATGCTTTGGCCACTGCACATGTACACATGCTGTATTTACCAAGGACCAAACTGTCAACCGTAGTTGAAAATCTGATGTGGTCAATATGTGACGGCTGTCAGGGCTCCACCTGGCATATGCAATGCCCGCTGGACCATCATCTATCTTGCACGTCCATTCAGGTTGTGTCAATGACCATGCCTGTATCATTGGTCTTTTATATAGACCACAAAGAATGTATTCAGAATCCAGTGCCCATTCAATGTAGCTTATCTTGTCCAGACATGAAAACAACTGCACAACCTGCATTGCATCAATTAAGCTGTATTATCTTCTTTATATGCAAAACTACTTCTACCTCAACCAAATTACTGCTCAAGTTTCCATTGTACTCTCAGCCCCAACCAGAATAGAAAATAAAAGCAAGAACAACATATATTTGGGATGTAAAAAATCAAAACAAGTATTATCAAAATTTTTACATGTACATTGCAAATCTATTATCTACTATCAGTATTAATTTAAGATGGTCATACTTCTAAACCGTCAGGGTTTTCCTTTTCCCTGTTGCTATTTAATTTTGTTTTGGGGTTTAAACCAAAACTTTACAACTCTGTATAGTAAGTGAGAAGCTAGGAGCAACATACGAGTATTCATACCCTGGATTTTCTAGAACAGGAAAGCACTTACGAAGAGATTGAGGGAGAGAGAGAGAAAGATTACCCAGTATGTCTAAGCGACTCTATTAGAATGCTTTTCTGTACCAATGCAGCATAATAGGTTCTTACATTCTCTTAGTGTTTCTTTTACCAGTTCCGCCTTCTCCCAAATATGTCTACATCTATCCTGATCTTCTACAAATTTATTTAGCAAGCAGATCGAAAGCTGCTCTGGTTGATGGGGCTGCCTACAAAACTGGAAGAGGAAAATAAGAGGTTCTGTTGATCTACGCCGTAAAATGTTCACAGCTTCTGGGTGGATTAATCCTAAATCAAAACTCATAGGAAAAACATCCGAATCAGCTCACTACCGTCGAATTTACCCTACTCGGTTAAACAGTTCAGCCAGTGGACCATTCAGCAATGCCGCATAAGTCAAGATACCATAAAATTATCGGTCTCAAGTGCCCTAACCGTTTAGTTATCCATCGGGGGAATTTTGAGATCACAATTCAAGTGAAAAATTCCAAATAAATTTGAATAAATCAAAAGAGAGAGAGAGAGGGACCTTGAAGGAGAGGGTGTCGCGAACAACGAGACGATAATCGACGGCGACAGCGATGAAGCGGGAGTTGGGGGAGAAACAGCAGGGTCCAGTCTGCTTGTAAGACTCGGTGAACTCCATAGCTTCTGTTCGCAAGGACGAGACTCCAACAAGTATGGCAAAATGAAATGCTGTAGAGTGAGCAAAAGTTTGCGAGTCTCTACATTTGAAATGCGAGAAAATGTGATAACAATTGGATCGAAATGTGGCGGAACGAATCCACCAAAAAGAACTTTATGAGATTTCAAAATTTTCTGACGAACTCTCGGCGAATTATGTATGACCAGTTTAAATATGCGAGTATACTGGGCTTGATCAACAAAAATAAATTATTATTAATAAATAAACATATATATATAATATTTTCGCTCATTTTAATTTTAAAATATTACTCTAAAATTAGGTAAATATTATAATTTTAACCCTCTATTTAATTCCCGATAATTCACCCACTAATTTTAAGAATAAGTGAGGTAAAAGAATTCCAAAACCTTAATAATTTAATAAAAATCAAGTGTTAATAATTTCAACAATTAACTTGCATTGACTAGACTTAGACTTAGATATTTAATAAAAAAGAAAGAAAAATATCGATCCATTAGAAATTAAATTCAAATTTCGGAGACAATTATAAACTAAATTTAAATTACTTTTAAAACTTCCAGAATTGAATTAGAACTAAATTTCAATCTCGTGTAAAAAAAAAAAGATTTTTTAAATTAAGGGATCCGGTAGAAATTAAGTTCAAATCTTAGAGCTATTTTTTATTGCGTGGCTTTTATTTTATTTCTTTTTTTCTCTTCCCCTACCTTTCTCGCACATCCCTTCTCCTACCTTTCTTCTTCTTATTCTCCGGTGACTGCATCGCCCATTTTCCACCGCTGCCAATTCCTTATTAACCTTGCAGCCGCCATCCCATGTTCGCCCAGTAGTCTTCCCTCATTTGTTACAGGATCTGGAATGACACGTTTCGGATCCACGAATGCGTTCCAAATATGGGCACGTGTCCATTTGTGCGTTCCAGATCGACGAACACGCATCCCTGATATATCTAGTGCATGTTCATTCTCGCTTTCCAAATGTGGAACAAACATAGGATTTCAGATCTGTTCGTTTCGGTTTGCAGCAGCCAAGGGGAGTAAGTACCTGTACGACGGCACTTTTTAAAATATTCTTCTCGGTCTGATCTTTGTAAAAGTTCATGTCTTGTCATTTTATTTTATTTTTTTAACGTGACACCGCATTTAATACATTTATTGAAATTGAAACCTAACAATGATTTTATATTAAACGATTTTGTTATCTACAGAATTTGTGAGATAAAAAATGAACTAACTTTTTTTTAGTTGAATTAAAGTTGAAATTGCAGGAAAATATTTCAAAATTATATAGATCAAAATGAATAAAAATTGAAAGCATAGACACAAAAATAATAATTTAACCTGAAAAAGGATAATTTCCAACTTTAGGATCTGAAATTTTATGTTTATTTCACTTTTAAAAATTTCTCAAAATTTTAATAGCATTATCTATTTAATCTATACACTTTAAAAAACATCTAATAGAATCATGAATAGTGAAATAAGAATTAAGAGATCCACTTGTCTATATGCTACTAGACCAAGTAGAAATTCAGGAGGAATTTCCTCCTTAATCTTCTAATAGTAAAGTGTTTTCCTAAATATTATTATAATATATAAACAAATGGTTATTTATTTGATTAATATATATTCAATAATGTGATTTAGAGGATCACGAGGCTTATGTCCAAAGCAGATGATTGATTTAATTGGAGGTGGTCCATTGTTTTCGCAAGGGGAGCTACTTTGTGTAAAGTAATAAAGAAAATATCTCGTTGTGGTTTATCTATTGAAAATTTTACCACTCATTATTTTTGGTGAGAATCCAACTATTTTGCAAATAATAATCCAGTGAAAACGAGTGTTGCAGACGTCGCCACGGAAGTTTGGAAGATGGAAGGAAGTCAAATTTGCGAAGCTTACACAACAAGCTCCAAATTGAAAGCGTCTCTTACTCTTAGCTTCCTCTGCAATCTTTCACCATTCCATTTTCTTCAAATCCTCCACACCAGTGGTGCAAGAACAACCCTCAAAATGCTCTGCAACAAAGCTCCCAAAATCCTCCCAGGCTTCGCCGCGGAATCGGTTATCAGCGACCAAGATCTCTTGCTCCTGATTCTTCTTCGCTTGCCCATCCGATCGCTTCTCAAATTCAAATCCGTCTCCAAACGATGGCTCTCCCTAATCTCCAATCCTCATTTCTCGCATCGCCGGAGCTCTTCTCATCCGCCCGCTCCTTCAGGTATCTTCTTGCCCCGTCCCTGCCCTAATTTCTCCCCCGAATACGACTTCCTCAGTCTCAGCACGAATTCGCCTAGGGCTCCGTTCGAATCGATTGATTTCACCGAGCGGAAACAAGGAACAGGAACCGTACAGATCCTGCAATCCTGTAATGGCTTGATTTTGTGCGGCAGTACCAATCGCAACCACTCGAGGAGAGATTATTACGTTTGCAATCCAACAACGAAGCAATTCACCACGCTTCCCGAGCTTCGAACCGGAACAATTTTCGGTCTGAATCTAGCATTTGATCCTTCGCGATCGTCAAATTACAAAGTGGTTTGCGTTCGAGACTCCGATTCCTTCGCAAACAACTACCAAATCGAGATTTACTCGTCTCGGACCGGCCCCTGGAGGCCCTGCCAGGGCGTATTCGCGGCCCCAATCAGCATGAGATTCCACGACGGAGTGTACTGGAACGGAGCTGTTCATTGGATCAGCACTTGGGAAAACTGCCTCTACTTCGATCTGCGCGAAGAGAGACTCCACGAATTGCCAATGCCTCGAGTTCCTGATGGCTGGGAAGAAAGAAGAACCGTGTATGCCGGAAATTGTGGAGGCCGTCTTCGCCTGATTGAAGTTTACGATCCTCGAGGTTTACAGTTCAACGTGTACGAGATGGAAGATGATCGTTCCGGGTGGTTCGTGAAGTATCGGATCGATCTTCACTGCGTTTCGGCTGCATTTCCAGAAGTGATTTGTTCCGAAGAGAACTTGGAATTGGGTTTGTTCCCCAAGTTCTCGGTTCTCGCCATTATTGATCGAAGTGAGGGAGATGAAGAATCGTATCTTGTTGTGCAGATTCTTGGAAAAGTTTTGAGAGTGAATGTTGAGAGTGGAAGATTTGAAAGGCTGGGACTGGGAGAACAAAACAAGGGCGGAGAAACCGGGGCCGTTTATCCTATTATTGAGTTTGGACACAACGATGCATATTTGTTCATCGAGAGTCTTGCGTGTGTTTAGGAATAATTACGAACAAATTCTGTAAAAGAAACGAATTGAATTTGGTTAAGCTAAAGATCGGCCAACTTGTCAGGCTAAATTACCATAAAAACCCTTTATATCACACATCGTGACAGTTAATATGAAATGAAAATGGAGGAAACGTGAAATAAGCTATCCATCTTTTTAATGAAGTACAAAACAAAGCAGAAACAAGGGATAAGTAATGTCATTTTAGAAGATTATGCATTTTTTAAATGAATGACAAAATTCTAGAGTAATTTTTTTATTTAGTCTAAAATATTAGATGAAACATGTTTTTATTTTGAAAAACACCTTTTTTTTAGAAGCCATTCCAAACACCAATTCATCAATTTGAAATTTAAACTAAACACCTAATCTTCAAATATTTGACCTACATATATCTTTTTTTAGTACCGTCCTACAAATATCTATTGATAGGAAAATAAGATGTGACGATGCTATTTTGTTAAATACTTTATGGTATGAACTTTTATAGGTACGTTTGACGATACTTTCATTTTAAAATTTTAAAAAATTACACTTGTTTTGTACCAAGATTTCACCTATCTTAAAAATATATTTTGAATTCTCAGTCAAATTTCAAAAGTGAAAATAAAAAGTTGATTAATATTAAAAAAAAAAAGCATCTACCCTAACGCAAACATAGATAGGTAGGAAGTTGGGGATGTGGTACAAACGGTGCCAAAGATTGATCTTGAGAATGTTCGGCTATTTTAATATATAATATATGATTAATATTGTATTTTATTTTTATTTTTTATATTTTTTAACCAAATGTTTCTTCTTTTTGACCTTAGGTGGCTTCCTAATCCCATTTAACATATCAAAGTCATACAAAACAATAGAATATTAGTGAAGGTATCTCGTGCAGAGTATTAAAACAGAATAAAAAATGGAAAAAATGTTTAATTAAAAAGAATTCGCATCTATCTCTATATTCATTCTATTCATAATGGTAAGCTTTTAATTTCATCCCACGGTGGAATTAATACGTCTTCAAATAAAACTAAAAATTTGTCCTTAAATTTTAACTAACATGTTAGATCAAATTATAAAAATTTATAGATTAAACTATGAAAATATAATAATTTATAGATTAAACTATGAAAATATAATTTAAAGTAGGTATTTTTAACTAAAAATCCTTGAGTTCAAATCCATACTTATGTTATACTAAAAAAAACTATGAAAATATATTTAGCCACAGAATCGAATAGGTAAGAGAATACCTAAATTCAATAATAAAATATTCACCTTTAAAAAAAAGAAATAAATAAAATATTCAAATCCAACAAAAAAATATTCAACCGTGATGTTGATAATAATCAACCACAGTAATGCTTAAGCATAGCTACAATAACAATTTATTCAAATTAGGTTAAATAACAAAGTTCATGTCTAATAAATCCATAAATTAGAATATATATATATATATATGTCTTTAATTTTGTATCTAATAATTTCTTAAATTAAAAAATTGCTCAAATCATGAGATGATCTTATAATTTTGTGTCTCATAAATTCATGAATTTAAAAAAATGTCTAATAAATCAATGATTATTAACACACAAAAATAGAAATTAAATGGTTTATCAAACACTATTAGATAGAGATAAGTGCCAAATAAGCTCATGTTGACTGATTTACCAGATACTATTAAAGTTTAAGAATAGAGATAAAATTCAAAATTTAAAAATTCATTAGACAATTTTTAGAGTTTGGAACTATACCGCACGTCAAAAAAAAAATTTAGTGACTAAATTGGTAATTCAAACCACAAATAATGTCCAATTTATTGCTCGAATAAAGCTAAAATGGTTAAATATTACTCTTTCTTTAGGAAAAAAAATGGTTAAATATTACTCCCTTTATTTTTTTTTCCCTTTTATTGTCGTCCTACCTACCATTTATTTGCGACATAATTGATTGATAATATCCTTTGGAAAACCAATTTCACGTAATTAAAAATTGAAGGTCGAAAATTAAAATCGCTTGACAACCAATCAGAAGATCATGTGAACTTTCCTATTTAATGGAGATTAATGGAGATGCCAAATTCATCTCTGTATTCAGGCAAATTCATCATCGTCTTCGCTTAATCCACAAGGCAATTTCCCTTGTACCAACCCTCTCGCCCTCTCCATCATCCACAACAAAAAAATCAACACCAAGGAGAGGAAGAGAGGTTACTCAATCTTCACCCATTTTCCCTTCGCTGCAAATCGAAGAATCCCATTTCCTTCGCCCCATCGACTAAGAAACATATCGCATTCTGGGTGGATTTCCTTCGATTCTGATCAAATCAAATCACCCTCTTCGTCAATTTACTGTTCCCTTCCTTCATACCCAGATACTCCTTTTCCTGTTCCATCGAGATCTCAGATACCCAGTTCGGGTTTCGCTAATTTTTGTATATATTCGATCGATCCATCCATTTTCCTCTCTCTATATGGCTTTTCTGCGACCTTTCTTGCTCTTCTGCCTAATTTCCGTATCTTTCGCCCATGAAGCTTTCGATTCTCATCTCCTGCCGAGGCCGCTTATTCTTGAATTTCCCCAGAAAGTTGAGAATCAGTTGGAGGAATTGGACGGAGAGATCAAATTGAGGTGCGATAGTTGGAGATTCAATGCAGAGGCTAACAATCTGAGCCCCTGGAGAAGGATTCCGCTTGAATGTGCGGAATATGTGAAAGAGTACTCCTCGGGTCGAGCCTATCAGCTTGATGTTGAAACTGCGTCGAAGGAGGCTGAAATTTTTGCAAAGAGTGTGAAATTGGTTGGCGATGGGAAGGATGTTTGGATTTTCGACATTGATGAGACCTTGCTTTCTAATCTTCCCTATTACACAGAGCATGGTTATGGGTGAGATTCTCTTTATTCTATTCAGAATTTTGTATACCATCTTTTAAATCTTTTAGAATTACTACGAATATTAGAGATTGAGTTCTTGACTTGTTCTGGCCACTGAATTTTTTGGGTAATGGCCAACTGAGCTTCTGTGTTCTTATTTTTGGTACATATTATATTGAGGTAGATAGGAAAATGGTTCAATTATAAGTTTGGTATTGGAACTTTTTAAGGTTTGTTTGTTTATCAAGTTCTAAATTTTAAAAGGTATTAACGAGACCTACATAGTTAATTTTACATGGGTCCTATCACTATGATGGCATGACATGCTCATTGGACATATAAGGTTGATTTAGAACGGTGTGGTAGATAGATGGCTGTAGAAAATGGATAGTTCGACAAAAATAAAGTGATACCTGCGACATACCCTTTTTGAAGCACCATATCGAATACTTTTTACTGAGATCATTCATCCTATTTTGTCCCACTGTGCACCTATTTTTGCGGACTATAGGGAGGGAAAGTTTAGGGACCCAATTTTAATTTTATCCAAGGAAATCATGTGCTTTTTGCTTGTCTGCCAAACAACCAGTCAGGGTTTGTGACTTGTATCAGCCTGACTAATTGGTTATATTTATCTGCACATCTAATATTCATAAAATAAGAGTTTTGAACATTTTTGCTGTTTAGTACTCATATGTAAAGTTGGTTTGTTCTGGCAATTCACAGTTCGGATGTTTTTAATCCTTTGGAGTTTGATAACTGGGTCCAGAAGGCTACGGCACCTGCTCTTCTGCCAAGTTTAAAACTCTATAAAGAGCTTTTGGATTTAGGGTTCAAGGTGGTTTTGCTTACTGGAAGGAGCGAAAGCCAGAGGGAAGTTACAACACAGAATTTGATAGATGCAGGGTATTATGGCTGGGAAAGACTCATATTGAGGTTAGTATCGCACTAGATATGTTAAAACTTGATAAAATCTGGTGATTCTATGCAATTTGTTTAATTCGTCCACATGCTTGGATATTTTAGATACATGACATTGACCTGAATATTATCCTAAAAGTAGACTCTTTTGTTGTTGATATTAGGTGTTTGATAGGAATGGCCTTTGGAGGTAATTACCTTTATTAATAGAATATTAAGGGTATGGTAGTAATTAGTTAAGAAATTGGTTAGACGCAATTTGTTATAAATTGAGTAAGGAAAAAAGAATGAAGGCAGGCAGTTGTTTGTGTGATTTAGACTGGAATAAGAATATTCAAGAGAAACCTACCTCGAATTACTTGGTAGTTATTGTAGTTCCTCAATCTTTTATATTCTAGTTGTTTGGGTTCTACTAGTATTTACAGGTCCAATGAAATATATGGTAAATGTTTTTCTAATTATCTTTTCCCTAGTTATTAAAATTGAGATGTGAGGGAGAGCTTAACTGGTTGCTCAAATTTTTATTTCTTTTTTGCTTAAAATGAATTAATGAAGACTCATACGATTCTCTTTTTTCGGCTTGTTCTTTCTCATGGTTGTTAATAACCTAAAACTTGCCTAGTTTGGTCTTCCTTTTATGCGAAATCAAGAGTAGGCAGATAGTGAACTTTGTGATTGGAACGGAGACCATGGGCACCTCCCTCCCCCACAAAAAAATGAAAAAGAGAGTATAATTCCAATAATTTCAACAGTCCAAAGTGTTTAACTTTTCCTTTATACCAGCAATCTATGAGAAGTTCTTTTAACATTCTTTTGTTATTCTACTGATTAGCCTTCTGAGTTTTCTGAAAACTCAAAAAACTGTACTCAGGAAGTGAAAAACATAAAGCACTAATATAATATGTATATGACATCTTTTCCTCGATGTTCCATCTTTCTGTATAATAATAAAGCATCTCACGACCCTATTGTTCTATAGGCTAGACAACATCTGTTATATAGGCTGTACAACTGTATCCTTGAATTCTAAAAAAAGATAATTAAACATGGCTACTTCTTTGCATTTTATGGTAGAGCTAGAGATTGCGTTTTGATGCCATATTGATTGATGAGGCTAATATTTGTCTTTCCATCATCTAATGAGCTACCAATTATCTTTCATCTCACCCTCATATTCTTCACACTTCATACTTTTTTTAGAAAATCTAATTTAGTTATTTGTGGATTTGGATAGCATTCTAAATCTATTACTGTAGGATGTCTACTGGGATAAGAAAATGAGGAAGTGATGACAGAGTGTTATAGCTCTTGGTTGTTGAAAAAATTTATCCCCCTTTCCTAATTATAATCAAATTAATCTCTTGATTAACTGGAAGACCTTTTTGTAATCCAGTTCTGGGAGCCTTTTGTGTATATTTTACGCAGTCAGTGAGATGTCGATTTCTAACCAAAAAAGAAAAGAAAAAAAAAAGGAACATGAGGAAGCTGACTTTGTCGATATTTCTTGATTTGCAAACTAATTTTATCTTTGAGGTTTTATATTATGCATTCTATTGGCAGGTACTAGACCAAGAACTACTCTGTATTGCATTGAGCAAGTTGATGGATTAGGCAATAACTTGTAGAAACATGTCATCTAACTTAAAAGTAAAATAATAATAATAACAAAAAAAAAACTAACCCAAATGCTTCTGATCCTATCCAGGACACCCGATGACCAAGGGAAGTTAGCAGTATTTTTCAAATCCGAGAAGCGGAGCGAGATGGAAAACGAAGGATATCGAATCATCGGAAACTCTGGTGACCAATGGAGTGATCTATTGGGTACTTCAGTATCGCTTCGTTCGTTCAAGCTTCCAAATGCTATGTATTACATTTCCTGAATATAGGGAGGGGAGGCATCACATCATCAATAGTATTAATTATTATTAAACTATGATTCATGATCTCCTAAATAATTGTACATATTTTGAAGATGTATAACTTTATGGAGATTTGATTCAGCATGTAGTTAAGCCACATCTATGAAAGCTTTCATTATTAGCGTTGATGACAGATGAAACTCCTATTATTGTAAGTTCCAATAGACATACTTAATCAAGTCAGCGGATTCTAAAACCTTTGAGCAATTCCGATGAAATGCTGAATTTTTGTTTCGAGTAATCTTGATAAACTTTAGAGCAAGAGGCTTATCAAAGTCTGAAGATGTCAATTTTCTAGGGCTAGATACTTTCGGGGTTTCTCAATGTGGTGGTGTTGCTAATTTCTGGGGGGGAAATGAAGAGGGATGATTTTGATTTGCAAAGGGGATGAGGGTTTCTGGTTCTTTATGTAACTTGGGCAAATTTGGCCCGAAAATAAAAGGAAAAAATAGAGGCCAAACTCGAGCGAGTTCAAAGAAAGTTTTTCTCGTTGGTTATAACTAGTTGTTATTACGTTTTTCATGACGTTTATAAATAAGTTTTAAAAAATATTTCGTGTAAAATGTTGTTAAAAAAATTTTGTGACAATTATAAATCGTTGTTATTAAGTTTTTGTTGATGGGAGAACAAAATTTTTGAAATTAAATGAGTTTTTTGTGACATTTTTAAATTGTGTTGAAGGATCTATTCATGACAAATTATCTCTTTCCTTAATATCTTAATAGATGATAGTTATTAATTGAATTCAGTTAATGATAATTTTTAATTGTGATAGAAGCTCACTTTTACAGTGCATAGTTTTTCCTTTCTCACTATTTAATATTTTAACGCTATATAAAATTTAGAATCCGCTACCTTTCAAATTCTTAACAACTCAATCATTTAAACATACGTAGCACACTCAAATGACTTATCAAACTTCATTTCATCTTAACCTATGATGATTCTCTCCCAAATTATACTACATTTTTTTTTTCAAAATATTTATGGAACAATACTTTTAAGTGGTGCATGGAGAGATGAATGTAAGCAAGAAATGGATATTCTTCCATTTGATTTCTCTCCAATATAGAAATGGACCACATTGAAAATAACATCTCTTATGAGTATCAGCTTTATAAGTAGTTCCAAGGTTAGTGCTTGTGTGGGCATAAAGTTTAGTTTTACATCATGCTTTTGGCAAATCTCTCAATTTTAGCTTATGCCCTCTCTTTTATCTCTCTCCCCTTCACATGCACACCAAAAAGCAAGGTCCTTTTTTTCCCTTTTGATTATAATTCTTTTTTATAATAAGTGAAACATGCTTAAAAAGGGTGCAAGTGAGGTCCTTTTTATACAAGTAAAAGAAGAAAAACATCAACAGAACGAAGAGCAATAATCACTCGTCCAATTCAGCTCGTACGGATAGAGGCTATATTATTTATAGTGTCAAGACACAATTTAAGGAGTTTAAATTTGTTGATTTCGTAGTTCGCCAAGTTTTTCAAGATTCGTAAGAGCCCAATTCTATCAAGCTCAAACGAAAGGGAAAGATTTATACGGTGTGATATATACTTACCTCCGGCCATAACAACTAAATCACATTAATAGCATTATCCAATACTTTAACCCATGATTCTATAGAAAACATAACTTCTTGTTAAGCTAGAGACTCTAATACTCTCTATTTTGTGTTCTATGAGAAAATTCTTTATACATTCTTCTCTCATACAAAAATAAATGGACGGTGTTACTTTGACTTAATTAACAAGATTACAACATTGATAATCACATTAAAGAAAAAAAAAAGAAGAAAACTAAACCTCAAACAGAATTTGAGTGTATCATTTACTAAATAATACGTATCTCTACAATAAAGTTAAATTTTTTTATTAAATACAGTAAGCTTGAGGTAAATATTTCAAGTCACTTTTAGTCGAAGTAGATTCAATTATGACTAATAAAGTTAAATTATTAATGCAAATTTTTCTTTACATTATATTGCTTCAAAAAGTAGGTCATATTTCTATGTTTCTCCTCCAAAGTTCAACATGGAACATTCAAAACTTTTACCGACAAACAGAGAACATGTTTCCAAAAGATTTATATAAATCTGCTGGTCTCTTTGAATCTAATCAATCATGTGCAGAGGTTTCCTTTAAGTTAGAAAATATGTTTGAACTATTGTTTTTAAATTGTTTTTTTTTTCACACGTGTAGCTTATGTTTTTTTGCAAATGACTTAAGTAGGTTTTTTTTTTAATAATTTATTTATATCACAGGCCTTCGCATGTGTAACCTCAAAATTTACTGGTAATCTAACCATAATTCGATGTAATCTATACTGTAATTGTTGATTTTGCTTTTTTAATTCATTTAAATTGAAATCTTTTTTTAATTCTTTATTTTTTGTGTAACAAGTTTTTTTAATTCTTTTTTACTTTGGATGATTTAAATTAAATAAATGTCAATTTAAAGATAATTAAAATGGTGCTATAGAAGAAATTTTGGTTAAATACTGAAAAATACCCTTAAACTTTTCATTATTTAAAAAATATCTTTATCATTTAAAAAATTTCAACGTTATTCTGGACCTTTCATAAACATTTCAAAAATACTCGTTGAACGAAAAATTGACGTAGTAGCATCTGAAATATGATATTTAATATAGTATTTAATGTCTCAAATTTGTCATAAAAAGTCTTTTTCCTCTATTGTCAACAATCCAAAAATATTTTTGAGACGTTTACGCAAAGTCAATATATTATTGAAACTTTTGAAAAAGTATTTTTGAAACAAAGAGTACTTTTTTTAATTTTGCCAAAATTTTTATATTCTCATAGTACCAAGATTTACGAAGATTCAAAGTTTCGACTCTTGTGTACACAAAACTCTATTACCACTTCACCTACACAAATTACTTTAGTCTAATTAGTGGAGAAATCTTCTTTTTAACTATATAATTTTTTTCTAACATGCCACACCTTCTCAAATTATCTCTTCGAAAGATAGATTTTTGATATGACTGCCACCTTAGTCATAGTTAAAACGAACATAGTTCAGTAATAATTGACATACATCTCCCATCGAGAGGGTGTGAGTTCGATCCTTCATCTTGTATTTAAAAAAAATTCTTTAAAAATATATATATATATATTTTAAATTTCTTATTATAGTAACAATATCTTTAAACTTATCGACGTAAGCTTGCTCGATATCCCCATATTTATGATGCTAAAAAACAATATTTTTAAATGTACCCTGTATTTTTACCATTTCATATAATCCCTTCATTATTTTACTTCTCACTTATAATACTATAATTTTTTTAATTGAACAATAATTTTAACAAACATTAATATACTTTATTTCGTTAATTAATTATTAATACTTTTTTATTTTTTTTGTGTTTCATTAAATAATTTTAAGGCTAATTATACAAGATGGTCCCTAATATTTAAAATTTTTCATAATTTAGTCCTTTATTTTTTAAAATTCTCAATTTTGTGCTCATTGTATTAAAGATTATCAACAAGGTTCTTCCATTGAAAAAAAAATGGTTAAAAGCTATAACATAAAACTAATGTGTCATTAAATTATTGTTTTATTGACATATTTAGACATGCTAAAACGACTATAGTTCAGCGGTAATTGATACATATCTTCAATCAAGAGATTATAAGTGAGAGTTAAACATATTTGGACACACAGACAGGTTCATTGTTTTTACTAATTATCACGAAAAATCAATTATAAAAAACAATAGGAGCGTTTTTTTAAAATGTTACAAAAGTTGTAGTCTTTGAATCCTTCTTGTGGTATCCTCCGAGTAGTGTGCCCATCTCGCCTTTTATTATTATTATTATTTTTTCTGAGCTATAGATGTAAGATTAAAATACTTTTGTTGTTAAATTTCTTCCCAATATGTTCTGATATTAATTTCATCAATACTTTGTGTATAAACTCAATAAGTAAACTTCATTATATGTCTAAATGATGATCAAATTTGTGGTATCCCTCGGTGTGTGTCTCTTTCACCCACAATAAAATTCTAAACCTTTTATGGCCATAGGAACTATATTAGATACTAAATTTAAATTTGAAATCGTCGCACTATTACAAATTTAGATTTATGTGACGTGACGTTTAAAACAAGTCATGAAAAGATTTTGTGACGTTGTTTTTCTTTCCTTTTGGCAGAAAAAATATATATAGAAATGAAATTAAAAAATTTTCCTTCAATTTTGAATCTCGTTCCTACTTTTTTTTCTTTTTGTCTTACATAATTATTCTAAGACTAGAGGTATATTTTAGTCCATGATGTTAGAGTTTCTTTTCCAGTATAAAGGGAAAAAAAATTTTATGTATTCTGAATCCTCAACGAAAATGCCACCGTGCTAAAGTGGTATTTTCTTATTTTGGGTATATTTTTAATATATACCTTAAATTCAAGAAAGGCCCCCAGTCTATGGTGGATTAGCCTATGTTTCCGAAATTTGAGTGATTTTAAGATGACTGAAGGCACTTTTGTCATTGTCAAAATTATTTTCCTTTTTAAATAGTCATGTTTAGCAAAGGGATAAAATTGATCTTAGAAAAATCTAAAATTATTTTAAAAGTAATAGTTGATATGTGATTTTTGTTGAGGTGATTTGATGAGATTCCTCTTAAAATTAACCATTATTTTTAATGTTAAAGTTGCCCCTGGAGTTTCACCTCTTTCGTGCTTCCCTCCTAAAGGGCTCTCAACTCTTTTATCCTAAGAAAAGCCATAAGAGGCATTTTGGTCGACCAACCCAAGATGACGACTGTCCTAGCCCCCACCATCGGAAGCCTGGCCACCCCCAAATGACAAACAGAAGACAACCAACCCGGGACAAAAACTTCAAGTTGATCATCTTGAGTCGGCCAACCTTGACTGACCACCTCGAGCTAACTAGCTCATGTCGACCACTCTAACGATAACCTAATTCTATATTGACTACCATTAAAACATTGAATTACTTTTTAAAAAAAAAATCTATCTTTACTTTTCTCTCTTTTATTTGACAAAATGATAACAAAGATAAGATAGTTCTCACTCGTCATGACCTAGCTATCGGACAAGCTCGTAGATTCTAATGAATTGTATATACAAGTGGGGTCCATATTGTTTGGCTGGATGGATGTATTCTCCCTACCACACACGCTAAGTAAAGTATTTCCCTCTCTTATGTACAATCTCCCATGACCTTCAAACTAAGGGAAAGAAACAAAAAATATAAAATAAATAATGTCCTCTCTCTCTCATACATCCAAAATCAGCAAACACAGGGCAACTTTCAACTTTCTTTGATCAATTAGATCAATTCCACCATTGATTTCTTCTCTTACCCACATGCTCAAACTAATTCTTCTGGTTGCTGCGGCCCCCATTTTTCTAATTTTCGTGATTTTGGTCTTCTTGTTCCGCCACAAGCTCGCAAAAACAGAGCAGAGAGATGTAGAGAAGGCGGCGGCGGCGAAGGCAGAGGAGGAGGAGGAGCTGAGTACTTTTGAGGGCGGCGAGGATTTGACGGTGGACGAGATTCTGGAAGCTCCGGGGGAGGTGATCGGAAAATCAAAGTATGGAACTCTGTACAAGGCGTCGCTGCAGAGAAGCCAGAGGACGCGGGTACTGAGATTCCTCCGACCCGCCGCCGCCACGGAAGAATCCGGCGACGACACCGTTGGGTTTCTGGGTTCGATTCGGCACCCGAATCTGGTTCCGATGTTGGGATTCTACGCCGGCCGCCGCGGCGAGAAGCTTCTGGTTCATCCCTTTTACGGCCGGGGGAATCTGGCAGACTTCATTACAGGTAATCCAATTTCTGTTTAATTCCCATTTCGGTTCATTCTTCCCATTTCCATTGCTCAATTTCCAAATTTCCCATTTTCAGTTTTATTCTATTTTCATCCACTTCTAAAACCTCTATTTTTATCTTAAAATTTTCAAAACTAAATCATTTTAGATTTTCTTTTTCTCTCTCTTTTTACAACAAATAGGACTAGGAGAGTTTGAATCAAACTAAACGGAAACATGTGTTAATGGGGCTCTCCTTTTTCTTTTTTTTTCTTTGTGTTTTTGGTGCATGTCGGCAACTATAATTTTTGTCTAGTTTCGGTATGCTGGCGTTGTGAATGGAGGAGATGACTCGGGAAGCGGGCGCGTTCTCCAACCCTCGTTCTTTTTTTTTTCTTTTTTGTCTTAATCTTTCTCTCTAATGGGAGAGAGAAAAATTTTCCCTCTATTTAATTTTCTTTTCCTAAGTAAGCATGTCGTTTTTTAATTTTTTTTTTTACAATGTAGTATTTTCATACTGTTTTTTATTTTATTTTGATTTGTTTCGTTACTTTCCATTTGGATTAACTAGTTTTGATATTTTCAAAATGTTTGATTTATAAAGGGTCACTTTTTAAAAATATATAAATCAAAACAAACATATTTTTTTTAAAAAAAATAGAAATACAATCTTGCGAAATTGTCTAATATTGACAACTAAGTGATAATAATGGATTTTTTTTCTCTAAAATATAATTTTGGTCTTTATATTTTAGTTTGGATTCTTTGATCATGTAATTTTAAAATATTCATTTAGTCTATATATTTTTAAAAGGTTCACTTCTGTTCCTTTATTTTTAAGAGTGGATTATTTTAATTTCTTAATTTTATTGTTAATCCTATTTTTTATATTATAATTTTAACACGGTACTTAATATATTTTTTGAAATGAAACCATTACTTTATATTAAAGGTTGGTTTTGGTTAGGTATAAAACTTTAGTTAAAATTTTATAGGAATACATTGAGGTAAAGGGACTAAAATGAATCAAAATGAATATTTTGAGAGTACACGAAGTAAAATGAACCAAAGTTTAGGAAAAATGACAAGGACGAATATAAACAAATGCTGAAAATAGAGGAAACAAATATATTTTAACTTTTTTTTAAGTATAAAATAATTGTTTTATTGTTTAAAAAATAAGTTTATTGAGTACTTTATTATTCTTCTTTTTTTAATCCACATAAATTTTCAAGAAAAATAAAAGGAAATAGTCTTAAATTCTTCTCTATTTCTTAAATTTAGAAAAAGAAGTAGGAATTTAATTAATTCTTTTTTTTTCTTTTTTTACTTGTGATTGAACAGTGGGAGAAGCAGAAGCAGAATCAGAGAGATGGGAAATCATTTACAAAATCTCCATGGGAATCGCCAAAGCCTTGGATCATCTCCACAGTGAATTGCAGAAACCGTTGGCGCACGGCAATCTCAAGTCCAAGAACATTCTTCTCGATCGGAATTTCGAGCCGCACGTCTCCGATTTCGGCCTCCATCTCCTCCTCAATCCCGCCGCAAATCAAGAACTGCTCCGAGTTTCCGCCGATTCCGGCTACAAGGCGCCGGAGCTGATCAAGATGACGGACGCCGATGAGCGGACCGACGTCTACAGCTACGGCAAAATCCTTCTCGAGTTGTTGCTGTACGGCAAAGATCAGCCGTCGAATCGAAACTCACCTCCCGACGGAGACGGCGGCGATTGCGGTGTTTCTGATGACCGGATTCTCCGATGCTCTCGGATCGTCGAGGCTTGTTGTTCTTCGTCGCCGGATCTTCGGCCGAATTTCAAGGAAGTGATTGCGAAGATTGAGGAAATCGGAAGGATTAAGATCGATTGACTGCGGCAAAGAGGGCTAGGGTTAGAACTCTATGAGAGGTGATTTTCGTTTTTCCAAAATGAATTTTGAGAAATTGATCTTTTTTTTTTTAATTATTCTTTTTCTTGATTCTACAGAATGAATGAATATGGCTGACTTTTTTCCCCTTTCTTTAGTCTAATTTTTGTTTTTCTTATTGATTGCTGTATATATCAACAATGGGTATTTAGGGTCCTGATTTGATTTGATTCTTTTAATTAAAGAA